AATTGTCTGAGGAAATGACGGATTGTAACAACAAAAAAAAAAAAAAAAAAAAAAAAAAAGGAAAATTGTTGTCTAGTCAAGCAAACTTGATGAATACTGTATACAGGGTTATTTTTGCCTCGCGTTATTTTCGCTCTTTTACACTTGCTTAAAAATTTGCCCCGTTTTAAATTCGCACAGTCCCACTTCTGCTGAAGAATTTATACTGTATTCTTTGAATGTACCCCTTTTAAATTCGCCCACATGTGACAAGGTCTAAAGGAGCGAAAATAAAATGGGGGCGAAAATTTCGCTATATGCAGTATTGAAATAAAATATTTAAAAAAAACTTGATGCTATACCTTTTAATTTTGCCTGCATAATTTCGTCCTAAAAGTCCTGAAAACTGATAATCAGAACACTCTAGAATTAAAATGATTAAATGATTTAATTCTCGCAAGATATATCAATTTTTTTTATCGCTTTTTCGTTTTACATCGAATTGTATATAATTGCGAATTTATTCAGGACAAAGTTAACACATTTAAGGAAGAAATTTTGTCTGGTTTCTGACTAAATGAAATAGTCAAAGTATTTTTGCACATATATCTTGCATATTAAGATGAATATGTCTTATTCTAACTGATTTAAAAGATATGTTAAGGTATTTTTTCCTCATTACAATTGTACAATTTTGCATAGAAATGGTAAATTAAGATGGAAATCTGACAGAGGCTATATGTTTGGCGTAATGACGGCGTATGAAAATATAATTTTTTCATCTTAGTAAAGAATAAAACTTTTTTCCTTTCATCTTATTTTGTTCCTTGTTTTACTACTTTACAAAGAAAAATTCAAAAAAAGAATAAATATATGAAGCATAGAATAATAACTAATATAGCCTTAATTAAGAAAAATAGAGAAAATCGGACTATCCAATTTCCATTTTCGTGTAGTTTAGATGATCAATGACAATTTGGTACTACCATCTCTCAGACCCTTTATCCTAATATATATTTATGAAAAATAAAAAAAGAACCCAACAATTTAGTCAATTGAAATAGAGGGAGGCATCGCATGATTGGCAACAGTATTTTTAGCTCACCTGAGCCGAAGGCTCAAGTGAGCTTTTCTGATCACATTTTGTCCGGCGTCCGTCTGTCCGTCTGTCTGCCTGTCTGTCTGTCCGTCTGTCTGTAAACTTTTCACATTTTCGACTTCTTCTCAAGAACCGCTGGGCCAGTTTCAATCAAACTTGGCACAAAGTATCCTTCGGTAAACGGGATTCAAGTTTGTTCAAATGAAGGGCCACACCCTTTTCCAAGGGGAGATAATTATGAATTAGAGAAAAATTAATGGCATTTTTAAAAAATCTTCTTCTCAAGAACCACTGGGTCAGGAAAGCTGAAACTCATGTGGAATCATCTTCAGGTAGTGTAGATTCAAGTTTGTTCAAATCATGACCCCTGGGGCAAGGGTGGGGCCAAAATGGCCGACCCAAGTTTTACATAGGAATATATAGGAAAAATCTTTAAAAATCTTCTTCTAATGAACTACCAGGCCAGGAAAGATGAAACTCATGTGGAATCATCCTCAGGTAGTGTAGATTCAAGTTTGTTCAAATCATGACCCCCGGGGCAAGGGTGGTGCCAAAATGGCCGATCCAAGTTTAACAAAGGAATATATAGGAAAAATCTTTAAAAATCTTCTTCTCAAGAACCACTTGGCCAGGAAAGATGAAACTCATGTGGAAACATCCTAAGGTAGTGTAGATTCAAGTTTGTTCAAATCATGACCCCCGGGGCTAGGGTGGGGCCAAAATGACCGACCCAAGTTTTACATAGGAATATATAGGAAAAATCTTTAAAAATCTTCTTCTCAACAACCACTGGCCAGGAAAGCTGAAACTCATGTGGAATCATCCTCAGGTAGTGTAGATTCAAGTTTGTTCAAATCATGACCCCCGGGGCTAGGGTGGGGCCAAAATGGCCGACCCAAATTTTACATAGGAATATATAAGAAAAATCTTTAAAAATCTTCTTCTCCAGAACCACTGGGCCAGGAAAGATGAAACTCATGTGGAATCATCCTCAGGTAATGTAGATTCAAGTTTGTTCAAATCATGACCCCCCGGGGCTAGGGTGGGGCCAAAATGGCCCACCCAAATTTTACAAAGGGATATATAGGGAAACCTTTTAAAATCTTCTTTTCAAGTACTTCAAAGCTATGATTAGTGATATTTATACGGAATCATCCTCAGGTAGTGTAGATTTTATTTTGTTCAAATGATGAATGCCGGGGGGGGGGGTAAATTCAAGCCCGATGTGCTCAGGTGAGCGCTGTGGCCCCTGGGCCTCTTGTTTAATTCTGAATATCCAAGTAAAAGGTGTAGACATTGAACTGAACTTACCTCTATGAAAAAAGAGTCAAATGAAATCAAACTTACCCCATCACTCAGTGAAATTGTTTTCATGATTCAATGACAATTTCACAAATATTTAAATACAATAAATGTAAATTAGAAGAATCCTAACTTTTAACCAGAAGAAAAAATTGTATACTTCATTAAAACCATTTCACTACTTTGTAAAACATATTTATGTTACTTTAACTGAGAATTCATTAACTATGATCAAGTAGCTCTTTCATCACACTGTAGATAGGAACTATTACATTTGAGAGAGCCCCAAGGTATAATAACTTGATAGAAATCGATAAAAGAAAAATTAACAAATGTTCCTACTCGGTTAGCGGATAAGAGTTTTATGCCCATGTCCCATGACTGGTTTCCTTGGCATCAAGAAGGTTTCAATCTTTGACATGCATGATGCAGCATCTTCGTCCCGTTTGAATGAAATAATTAAAACTTGTAAATAAATGCCTTTAAAATGAATGAGTTTATCACTGTCATCCCCCCCCAAAAAAAAGGAAAATCCATTGAGAACTCAAATTAATTAATCATTAAATATTCCAGATATTTGTAACAAAACTATCTTGAATTTCTAAAACTGTCCTGGATGGATAATAAATTGAACGAAAAAAAATCTCATTTGTTCTTAACAACATTTAAACCAAAAAGCAAATTGAAATTTTCACATCATGTAATTTCTACCAATCATATAAGAGAGGAAATGCATAGACGTAAGACATTAAAAGACTCGAACTCACCAACGTATTAAGTGATACGTGTTAAATACTTATCTCTACATTGTTGGAAATTATCTCATATTCTGTTTTATAAAATCTATGTTATATTAATGTTACATTTATATTACAGAGTATCATATAGTAAACGTTTTTTTCCGCAAATTTTTCTTACAATTTATCAGATCTTTCTCCTAGGATGTGCCAAGGCAGGAGTTTATGGGCTAAACTGTAATATATCTTGTCCAGACCATTGTCAAGAAAGGAGATGCAATATTGTGAATGGAAATTGTTCTAGTTGTAATCCCGGATGGACGGGTGACATGTGTGATAAAAGTACGACTGTCATTGAAACTAAGAGTTGATATTTATAAAAAAAAATTCTATCCCCTTTTCTTAAGATCGTCTTATGATTGCTGTGCCGTTTATTTGATCGGATTCCGTTTTTGTTTCTTCTAAAGAATGTCCATGGGGATTTTATGGCCTTGCGTGTAACACAAAATGTGTAGGATATTGCAGCGGGAACCAATCCTGTAATCACGTGACTGGTCAATGTGAGGATGGATGTGAAAATGGTTGGATGGGGAAATCATGTGCTGAACGTAAAAAAAAAACATAAGCATTTATCACAATGATTATTTCTTTTAAAAAAGTCTACAAGAAGTGTGCTTTTTGACTTTACAATTATTGTTTTAATGCAGTATGTATTTTGACAGCCCAAATAGCTTACTTCTTTCTTTCCATTAGTCTCTAACACAAAAACACCTTATTTTTGCGTTCTTCAACGCAAAAAGGCTGTAAAACAGTTTGTCGTGTGTTGCCGCTTTTGTGACGTTTAATAATATATTTGATTGATTGATTGATTATATAGTGTTTAACGTCCCTCTCGAGAATTTGTTCACTCATATGGAGACGTCACCGTCTTTTAAGTTTGCTACCCATTTTATCGACTGGGTCAGTCGCGCCGAGATACGAACTCACGACCTCCCGATCACGGAGCGAGCGCTCTACCGACTAATATGTTTGAAGTACTAAAAATTATATACGATATCATATGCCTTATCTTTTCAATAAAAAAAAGTTTTCATTATTAGTAATGATGCAAATTAAAATGGTCAAATAAACTAAGCTTCTTATTTAAGCTGAAAGATATGTGATGTTTGAAATAATCAGACAATTAAAATCATAAAAACATCTGTGTACGACTCCACAATAAAATAAGTGTTAATAAAAGTTTTCATTGATTGCATAGCATATTAACTAGGCAAATTACATAATCCATTTCTTTATTTTCTAAATAATTTAATTTCATTTGTAACACGTCATTTGATTGGTTAAACGGTTTAACCCATTTTGTATAACATAACTTGCCTACGTAACAATGATTTACGTCAAAAACGTATCACTCCGCTTGACGTTAAATTTTAAAATATGCGATATTTGAAGCCTTTTTCCTAAGGAAAAAATGTAAAAAAAAAATTGTTTCATTGTCTACATTGAAGTTAATTATAAGGAATGAAGCTTATTTCAACTTATGTTATACGATATAACATAACTTGGGACAGTTTACACTTTTTTATAAACCGCTTTAAAACGAGTTTTAAAGGGGAAAAACTGTAGCTGAATCCAAACACCCCCCCCCCCCAAACAAAACTTACTTTGTCATAATCAATTGTTAACTGATATTTACAAAAGAATCCTTTGCTTCAAGTTTTTTGAGCTGTTTGCTCTAATGAGTTTGATATAAAACCGTTTGCAAAAGCTTAAACATATTTACTGTATTTAAATAATCTGCTTTAAGTAAAAAATGGAAAAAAGAATGTTTTTCATGTTAAATTATACTTTACTTTATTTATTGGATTACTTACAATTTATAGCATGTAAAAATGGATTTTACGGTCCAGGCTGTGTCCATAACTGCAGTAGTCACTGTCTGAATAACACCTACTGTAGGAGAGAAACAGGCCATTGTGATAACGGTTGTAACCCAGGATATACAGAAGAGTTTTGTAATAAACGTAAGTAAATATTTAATATACATGTGTGCATGTGTATTTGCTCAGGATTGACCCCTTTTATCAAAAAAATGACTTGTTTACACAGCGTGTACGCTTGGATTCTTTGGAAACAATTGTCATAGACAGTGCAGTACAAAGTGCAAGAATAAAAGATGCGACCATATTGATGGAACTTGTTTAGAAGGGTGTTTAGATGGCTTTGATGGAAGACAGTGTTTAAACAGTAAGAAATTATATGATTTATTAGAAGTTGCACAAAACATTTTATTATCATCCAAATGCACGGTTTCGTTAGTCAACGTATTTTCTTTTTTAGTGTTTATAATGCATACATTTTTAAGCATTCATTCGGGAAAAGTTTTCATATTTTGCCTTCAGTATGCAAGGAGGGATATTTTGGTTCAAACTGTTCCAATGTTTGTTCTTGCAACAATTCCTGTAACCATACTGACGGCTCTTGTAATCAAGGTCAGTTAATTACATGTTATCCAATAAATTTATTTTGTGCACTTCTTTGGACAGTTTTTCTCTCCTATTATTAGAATTATTAAAATCCTAATGTAAAAATACAAAAGTGCTTGAAAAAATCTTTATATTCAATTTCCAGTTTAACGGGGGCATTTTGATCTGGCTTTGTTAATGAATAGGAATACAATGTGCAGGTTTACGTACATTAAGCATTTTTAAAGTGGAAAGAAAATAATGAACTGCATGAAAAAATGCTTTCGAAATATAACTGGCGAGTTGGGTCTCTTGTATCCAAACTGAAATGTATAGAGCATATTCGCATAATATGATATGCCAAAACTGTATTCTAAAATTAATTGAACAAGCTCTTTGAATATCTGTAATTTCCTTTTTAAGGTGTAGAGAACGTTGTTCATTTGGAAGATGAATCAACTAATGCTTCAACTATTGGAGGTATCTTAGGAGCGTTCGTAGTTATTATAATCCTTGTTCTTCTAGCAGTCCTTTTTATAAGGTAAACTTTAAAAACTAATGTTTTTTGTATTTTGTTAACGTTCATTGAATGTTTTTGATTAAATTTTATATATGCCTTAATATCTCAAAAGTAATTCTTTATTGTTGAGTATTTTTACAAATGCGTACCATTATGTTCAATAGTTTAGTGATTTTCGTCATTTATACATTATATTGCAATTGATTAATTCTATAGTAAGCATTAGTTCAATCGGTACTTTAACGTAGATTCAAAAGAAGAGCATTAGCAGAATATTTTGAAAAGACGAAGAAGGAAGCGTTTTCGCCAGTGGAATCGAAGAAGGAAGCATCTTCCACAACAGGTAATCATTTAGAAAAATACGTATAATTCTTTGAAAAAAAAAAGATACATAAATAAAATGTTTAAAATATTTAAAATCAAACATCGTACTGAAGTACTTTCACCACATAAATTTTATATCATGAATAATGGTCAAATCAATTGTCAGACTCCTGTGTACTTTGATAAGCCATTGAATATTTCTGTCCTTTGGATTTTAAGGAGTATCTTGTTTCAGTATATATTTTAGAAAATAAAAAAGCAAGCAATTCAAAATGTTCTTTGTTTTTTTTATAAACACGAGAATAGTGTATAGAATACTTAGATAATTGTCAATGACTACCATGACAATATCATTTTGATATATACCATTATTGCGGAAAATTAAATGTGGATTTTTTAGCAAATACTTTAAACAAATATTTGGCATACATGTATCATAAAAATGTTAAGGAAAAAATAATATGCATTTAATTAAAATTTGTAAGTTTGGATATCGTAAAAATCCATTTTTTGTTTCATGAATGATGTAACAAGGAAATTTTTATAAGTAGTTGACTAAAATTTACCTGTAGTTTTTCCTTCGAAAAATGAAGATAAGGGCACTTCATGCCGATGTCGAAGGACTTTTTATTGTCTTGAATGTATGAGAAATTGAAAACAAAAATATTTTCGATTTTTTCAAACTGTGCATTCATTGTTAAATAATATATTAGTTTTCAGCAATTTAAAGGATGAACATAAGGAAAGTGTCAGAAATCGGACAAGCGTTTTGCGAGAAACTGCGAAAAAAGGTCCTCCAACGAACAAAACTATTCCAGTGAGAAATCTGAAGGCCACTATAGTCAAAATGTCTGCTGCTGAAAATGCTGGATTCAAACATGAATATCATGTATAGCAATAAAATTTTTAAAAGTATTTTTACAATCATGGATACACTATCATTGATGAATATTATTTTAAAAATGTCAAGGAACTTCACAAATATCAATATTGATCATCATATTCTTAAATATAACATGTTTAATTCAAATCTATTCTGTTTTTTTTTCTGGTGAAATAAACAAAATGATTGTGTAATTATTAATCAAAATGGCATTTTGAGTCAAATTTTGAACTTTTTAAGATTAAATTCTAGTCGGATAGTGTTTCGGATAATATTTTTATAAAACTGTAAGAAGTGTAAAAAAAAAAAAAAAGAATCCACGAAATCATAAATCAAAATGATGCGCTTTTTGTGCAATGCTTTAAGCAAATCTAACATTATATCTATTAATATGTTACTTTGATATTTTTTAAAAAGGAAATTCCAAAAGGGGAACTTTATTCCTGCGAAGAGGCAAAGAAGCCAGAAAATAAAGCAAAAAATAGATACACGTCCACATTCCCTTGTAAGTAATTTTAATTTTATTTTAAAATAATAAGAAAATTGTTTAAAACTGACTATTTTCTTTAGAAATCACTTTGCAAACACCATATGTTCGACAAAAATACCTTTCAATTGAAAGGATGTTCTATAAAAATTACTTTGCAAGAATAATTCAAAAAGGTTTATATTAAATAGACGACCACTCTCGAGTTGTTTTAAAGAAGCCACACGGAGGAGATTATATCAATGCAAATTATATCGAGGTAAGTAGGGTTTTGTTTAAAATTACAATATCGTCTTATGAATAACATTGCAAGTTAGATATATTCTAGTTTTGATTGTAAAGTACACGATGATATTGTATTATTTCAAGAAGGAGGAATTTCTATCCATCCCTAAACATCATTTTTAAAGTTAAAATAATCTTTGCATATTTTTCTTTAAATGTTATGACGACAGAATGTTCTTGATCAAAGAAACTACATTGCAACTCAAGGTACGTGGGTATGACAAGCTTAAGTATTGTATGTGTATGTCTAATATATCAATTAAAGAAAATAGAGAAAATTCGGATTAGCCAAAATCCATTTTGTTAAACTGTCTTGCGTCAATTTGGTAATATCATCCTATTGACCTTATATGGTAATATTTTTTATGCAAAAAGATTAAATATTTTGGGTAGAAAACCGTATATCATGATTGGGTGCAGTGATTATTTTTATTCTCAATGTCCAGGGAAAAGATATTGACCTTGACCTGACTTTGACCCTAATAGAGAACAGTCAAAACTTATCCAACTAATACGATCACATAATTATATTTTGTACTTGATTCTGTGAAAATTTCATTAATTTTTAAATACAATAAATACAGTTTTATGTGAGGAGAATCTTATCTTAAACAGAAGTATATATGTTATATGTCGAAGATAAAGCATCTTTTTCGATCTCAAATTTACAAACGATACAAATATGTAATGAGGACATAAAACACGCTGTTGGAAATTCCAGAGGAGGATCATATGCCCAGGAAGGGTTATTTCTCCATTAGACTGGTCGCACCCACATTGAGCCCTGTATATTTCTTCGGAAGAAATTACGTAGTCAAATGCAATATAACTGTGGGTCTATGAAAAAACCAGGCAGGGGGCCATACATGAAGTGTCACTCACATTAATGAAATTTTCCAAAAAGACTTCAACAATATAGCATATAATCACAAGAAAAAAAATTTCCGAAAATTTTCAACATTGGGGCCCACTAAGGGAGTACCCCATAAGGCACCATCTTTATCATCATTTTGTATTCAGAATTTAGTAAAAACTGCTATTTTCATTCACCATTCTCTTCTTTTCATTAAAATATTGAGTGACCAAAAGTAAGAACAAAAGAAAATATATATTATTTATTTCATTTTGTACAATTTTTTTTTGTCTTAAAAATCAATGCTATATTTAAACACAAGGGGAATAACTCTTGATATAAAAGAGACTGAAAAATGTGGGAAAAGGGTCGATTTTGGACATGTTTTAAAACTGGGTTTGGACGCTTAGATTTTAAATTATTTTGTTTTAAGATAAAGATTGTGAACTTAATAATCATTTCCTACAGGCAATTATTCGGGTTTTAATTATTGGTGACACTGTGCGATTTTGAAATTGAGAAATTTTTCCAAAAAAATGTGATTTTTTCCGACAGAGTTATTTCCCTTTGTTTCATACTTTTATAAACTATATCAGGCTACTATTTAAAAAATCAATATTTTCACTAAAAAAATGTTTTGTACAGTAATTGAACATTTTGGTAAAAATACTTCTGTACATTTCGAAAGACCATTAGTCTCTGAGGAGACTGTAGCTCCACTGTTTTGTTTCAACAAAGGATGAAAAAAGTAACCAGGACAATTAGTTGATGCATATTTTCTTGCACAATCTATTTTGTACTTTGTTAAACCATGCGACATTTTACAAAGTTCAGTTTTTGAAAAGTTGTTCACAAAAAATGATAGTATATCTACTTGACTCTGATGCCCATCAGCCTGATGATCCTGATCGTATGCTTTTATTAAGGCTTCTGTAAATGCATCAGTTTCTATCTTTTTACCTCCGGCATGTAATATTTTTTATATAACAAGTGCATTAAAGCATTTTCTTGCAAGGTGCAATGCATTCAAAGGCACACTGAATAACTTCATTGGCTTTCTGTGTCACATAGTCTTTTGTAGACTGCTGTACCTCATCTAATGATGTATTCAGGGTGAAGCGTAAGGGCGTGAATTTACCATCAGACAGTATCTTCATACTCCTGTTTAGCTTTTCTAGAAATTGCGGGTCGTCTCCAGTAGTCACATACAGTTCCTTAGGATGACTGACTCAGACAAAACTCTGTATTCTGACTGGATTGCTCTGAAAAAGAAAAGTTTTGATAAGAGATATTGTAAATGTTGAAGACGACATAATTCTGACTATAATCACACTTCAAGGACAATTCTTCCATGGAATATTAAACATAAGAGGCTCATGGGCCATATCGTTCACCTAGGCACTGTGGCTAGGAAAAAACAGAAATCAGTTCAGTATTTTTTTCCCATACAAGTATAAACTTTGATTATCGATCGTGGCCCCGCCCCAGCCCTGGGGGTCAGGATTTGAACAGATATGAATCTACACTACCCCACTGGCCAGGATACTTCCCTATAAGTTTCATCTTTCCTAACACACTGTGGTTCTTAAGGATGTACAACACACCTACTCCAAAATATTCCTGTCGTTTAATTTTCGCTATTTTGTATATTTAGTACATGACTATATCTACTGTGTGTATGCACATTTTAGACAAAATCGTTAGAGTGGTTTTTGGACAGGAAATTCCAAAATTTACCCCCTTTAGTTGTTTACGGGAAGAGAAAATTTTTAATCAATAAACTACTTAAACCTTGATTTTCAAAAAAGCCAGGTTAGCTATAGCTGTCAAATTTCATTGACTTATACATTCCTTTAACCATTTAACACAGAAACAACAAAATTAAAAAAAAAATATTTTTGCAGATGTCACAGTCAAGGTCACAAGGTCATTGACCTTGGTGTCATTTGAAAGAACTTAATTAAGTAAGCATGCCAAATATGAAGTCTCTATCTCCCATGGTTCAAAAGTTATGGTGAATGTTAAAGTTGACAACAGGCAGACAGATAAACAGACAAATAGACAGGGCAAAAACAATATACACCTCAGATCTACCGATCTGGGTGCATAAAAAAGAAGTCTGTGTGTCAATGCTCAGTAGTAATACCCCCACTCTAATAAAAATATATGCTCTCAATCTCATTATGTGTTTTGGTGAAATAAAGGTTTTTATTTTTAATTGGAACTTCATAGGGATTTTCAAAAATGTCTTGAATTTTCAATAAACTGTAAATGCAGAAATAATCATTGGATATTCATTTTCATTTATTTTGTTGTTCACAATTAACAAAACTAAGTACCCTATTAAATTTTTATAGGTACCAGTACTACTGAGTTTTACTTTGGAAACAACAAAATTTAATGCCTGAAAACTTTTTTTAGGTGACAAATCAATGAAATTTTATCCCTACTAAAATTTGTGCTTCTACAAGAGGATGAAAATATCTCATGATATGAAAAGACAAATTGTCATTAACTTCTTTTCCCATTCTAATTAATTTACCAACAGATATTTTATTAGTTTGAATTTTAATTTAGGTAGTCATTACATAGAGAAATTAAGCTGAAAATATTCAAAAGCACATGACCAACATATGGTGCAGAGCAATGGATGAATACGGATACGGGATAGCAACAGTTTACCTTATAGTAAACCAAATTTGTAAAAATAAATAAACTAGATATGTACCTTCCACCCCTGAGGTGTGTTGAGAAACAGCTGGACACTGTTCATTGTCACATACTATTTTCTCTTCAATATGTTCAGTACCAAGCTTAAAAAATTCAGCTGTAATAACAAAAAATATGATTTTCATCGTTTACATGCCAATGTGATAGTCAGTAATGCAGACAAAAGTAATCTATTTTCAAAATTATAGCCCTTACTCTAGCTTCTTATACTTTAATGAATATTTATCATTTTAGATATTGTATTTATATTTTAATTTATTTTCTTTTTTTATACACGAGTGGGATTTTATTTCTAAATAATTCGATCACTAGGAATAGTATTCTCACTATTCTGGCTTCAGAGCAATAAAACACAGATCAACTTATAAAAATCTACAAGATTCCAACCTCACTTTTACAAGAGGAACTAATTCATATGTATAGTTTAAAATAGAGTGTGATTGGCTGTTTTATTTCTCCATTTTTTTGTTTTTGGACAAAGAGAGTATATCGGATGTGTTAATTGGGTTGTAATTTAACTGCCTATATGATTACATATAGCCCCTTTTAAAAACTTTCCACAGCGCAGCACAGTTAAGGTTACAAAAAGGAGGCGGAGCCAAATTTGTACGGGAAAACTTGACTATGACATCATACACAATATACGTCATACAACATTTCTTTAAAATACCACAAAATGAGTTTATCTGCTAATTTAACCAGTAAGAAATCATCAAACTACATAAAAACTTACTACAGCGTGTTGTTTTGTCGTTAGTTAAATCCCACTTAACAAGTTATAAACAAGTCACTGATCGCAATACACTTGTCAATATGACGTCATTTCTTACAACGTGACGTAGTTTGTATGCAGTGAGAGACAGATCAAGTAATATTTTCTCAACAAAATATGTATTCTCTAATTAAATAAAATATTATTTACAGATATTCTATGGGGCAATAACTTGAATTTAATGTCTTCTTCACTATTTTATTAATAAATTTTCTGTACATTACGTATTTAATTGACACTGCCGTGTATTTGTATGCAAGTACATCGGAGGGTAATGTGGGGGGTCTTAATAAATCGATCTAGTGCAAGGGCATACACTCTATGGATCAAAGTAAGCTTTTACATTTCAACTATAAAACTATTAAGGTATCTGAAAAGTGCTGCGATCCTGATAAAATCTTAAAAACATTTTAATTATATCAATATTTCATGCCGCTGACCAGCAAAAAATATAGCATTCGATCATAAAAGTATAACTTTAACAATGAAATTGCACAATTTAGACAGGATCGCAGCACATTTTAGAAACTATAATGCGTATTGAAAATATTTATATACTAAACTTGGAAATTTAACTTTGTTATGCCCTTGCACTAGTGACTTTTATATGTAACATCAATACTTCAAGTCAATGTGCTAAAATCGCGTGACTGTTGCATCACGTGACTAGTCTAAATATAAAATATAATCGTCCTCGATATGTTATTATTATTATTATTATTTTATTAATTTATAAAGCGCAAAATCACATATAGTTTCTATGCGCTGTACAATGGTTTAATGTAGTCATTAATCATAATTACAATTATCTGATATGAATAATGTACTAAAAATAATCGCCATCCCGATTACGAATACATTTTTAAATACAAAATTTAGTTGATATTTCCATTGCGCACCTTAACTGTGCTGCGAGATTCCTTGATATAAATGAAGTAATCATTTACAAAACTGTTTATGTACTCTGATTTTTTTTTTGGGGGGTAGGTACATCTGTAGTTTTGTTGTTGTGTAATTTAGCACATTGAAGACCAACTTCAAAAATTATTAGTGCTTTCTGTTGTACTTGTGCAGTAAACATATAGAAAGATCATTTATTCATTGCTTTATAAATTTTCAATCTTAAACTAAAAGATCTTTATCTCGGAGAAATGATAAGCCTTAATTTTTAAAAATATTGCAGACAACCTGCATTTCCTTATTAATAAAAAAAATCCTCAGATTGGATGGAGGGGGGAAGGGGCTTCGAGTTTTTATTAGTGTCCCGGACATTCATATAATAGGTGTTGTTTGTGGGTTATGCAATATCACATGTACATGTATACAATGTACCAACCTTGAACCTATCATCAATGATCATCCTCAATGTCCACTTTAGTGGAATAAGTTTTTCTGTGCCTTTCAGAACGATTCCTTCATAAACCTGCAATTTATTGAGATCTGTTAAATTTTTCTTGCATTTCAACAGATATCCATTCTAATTGAATGGGATCACAGGCACCTGAGTTTACTTATTTTTCTTTTAATAAAAAATATAAGCCCTACCTTAAAAAGAAAATCATTGTGCATGTGGATAGGATTCTTTGAGATCCAATATGTATGCATGAGCTTTGAAGACACTTATGAATTATATTTATTTTTTAATGTAGTCTAGTAACTTACTCGATGGTGTACTACACCTAGGTGTGATATGATTCATAATAAAAATCATATTGATAACCTTTAGACTCCCCTATCAATTTTATTTGTATGAAGCTTTGTCAATTTGAATGTGATAGCTCTCCACTTTATTTAGCGAAATATATATGGAATGTAAATTATATGTAAATCTACATCGAATCAATATTCTCTCATATTACACCAGAAATTCTTAAAAATCATCTGAGGACCAATCAAAATTGTATCCATGTATAAGATAATGTTATTGTAGTGTTTATTATATACCACTTACCAACAGGTACAAGTATCCTCTCTTGTAGCCATATCTCTTTGCAAACGGGGCAATTAACTCCTCTGTCTGGTTTCTCCTTCTGGTCTGGTAGGTGCAACTGGTGTGAACATCGCCGAGAGTCTTGTACATGTACCAATGAGTACAAAGACTATTTCTGTGACTCGTTTGACATATTTTGAAATTTACATACTCTTTTGCAACTTCGGTAAAGCAAGAGAACGCCCTGGGGTATTGTCACTTGATGTTGTTTAGGGACAGCTTGACAATGCACCAAGTGTGACAATATTTTTTTTTCGACATGAATATATACTTTCTGTAAGTCCTCCACATGCAACAGAAGTGCATGACCTTGAAAAGCGATGGGTTGCTATGGCAACGTTGCATGTTTGACAAGAAATCTTTTATTATCAAACATAATTTATAATCTTGAATTTTTATATCAAATAAGTAGTTTATGGATAAATGATTGCTTTTGGCCCTAATGCTGCATTGAAATTGAATGAAATTCAGCCTTTATTTGCCCTTTCTTATGCTTTATTTTCCTGGTTTTAATGACGGCCCTGTTACTATAAATAGAACAAGCTATCAATTTTCTCACCTCATGATTTTTTATCAGTGATGTGTACCTTATCAATATTTAATGGAATAATGACATTTACAAATACCTTAAAAATTGATATTTTACAATTCTGCCTGGTTTTCTCATAGACCCACAGATAAAAACAAACGGCCTTGCAATTGTTTTGACTCAAGTCAGCAAAAATAAAAAAAAAAGGTATTTGCTATCAAGATCTTTATACCGCATAAAGAATTTTTGAAATGTCGACCTAAAATGGGACAGTAGGAATTCTCTCATATTATTTGGTTGAATCTTTTTCTAGATCCATACAAACATGAACTATATCATTTAAGGTCCTAAGCCAAAGACGATTGCTGATTTCTGGCAGATGATATGGCAGGAGAACGTTTCTGTCATTGTTTGCCTTACCAACCTTAAAGAAGGAGGAAAGGTCTGTTTTTATTGTCAATGCTTTTGTTTTACATAGAGAAAATAATACATACCCTTTTCCATATCACATCCTGTATCAGCCCGAGACACCAAAATCAGCCAGAGGGCTGATATTGGTCGAGGGCTGATACAGGATGTGATGTGGAAAAGGGTATGTTTTATTATATTTATTACATACTTAGTAATAAAATACAGAACACAGTGAGTTGAGAAAAAAATACGTAAATAATCTTACAATGTTCATGGTCCGTTGTCTCATACGGTTTTGGTTTGTTTCTATATATACTTCTATTTCAAATGTCCCCAATCCGTAATTTGAAAGTATTCAATTAATTGTCAATTAGATTATCCTTACATTCAAAAAGTTAAAATTAAGAGAACTGTGTAACCCCCATAATATGTGTATGATCACAAGTACAGCTGTACTGCCATTTTTTAGGTTTAATTTACTAAAGGTGTGATATTGATCCGTATCAGCCCTGCAAATCCATATCAGCTCTGCAAGGCTGATACGACTATTGTGACGTCAGCCATATCTCATATGCAAAAATCCTGTATTTATTACTAAGTGTGTAATAAATACTTTTATTAATTTTGTTATGTTTAATGATATCCATTTTGGTAATTTTATGAATCATAATCTTGTAAAATCGAAGAGGGAAAAACATTCTTACGTTACAATACCACTTGCGAAAAAAATGCTTTGGATGGGACCGTATAAAACGAGGTCCCGTGTCGCAGTAGGAACTGGTACGAAAAAAGATTCTTCACTGCTTAATCGCCCTGACTGCCGAGTATAAGTCATAATTTGCAGCTCTTCATCAACAAGTAGTGGCCTCTCCATATGAGTAAAAAAATTGGCTTTCAACAGCAAACACGACAAGAAGCACATGTGAGACAGGTCGGCAGGGGATGCTCACTCGTCCATGGCACCTGATCACACCTCAGATGTTTTAGAGGTCCATGTTTGCTCTGCTCCTTTTCGTATTGTCTTATGGACTTGAATGGCTTCAATACTGTTCGATATCTCAATATATTTCACCAAAAATTAAAAGAAATCGGATTTTTTTTCAGTTATCATAAATTGATTCATTTAAAAACTGTTTTGAAAAACGACAATTAAGAACAAAATAGGAAAAAAATAATCCTTGCAACAAATACAAATTAATAAATTAATAAACTCTATTAATTATCCACCTGTAAACTTCACGTCTTGCTTAAATTTGTTTTGTTGTTTATGTATTTCCATATCATAATTTTACATGTTCAACCAAAAGCATACTTTAAATATGATAAGTATTATTTCTTAAATTGTAGAACAAATGTGCTCAATATTGGCCAGATATCAGCGATAAATTACAAACAGGAGATTTCACTCTGAGGCACCTGGAAGAAAAAGGATATTCTAATTATACAACGAGGCGGTTCAAGGCATACAATAATTTGGTAATAACATAGTATTATAAGTCATGTTACAAGTTGTTTAAGTATATAAATGATTGGAAAGAGTATCCATCCTGTTATTTCTGTTATTACCCGAGATGTAATAAGATAAATCGTCACATCATAATATATTTTTTTTCATGTTTTTATTGCAAAAATATGTCGTTTTTCTAATAGCTGAGCGCTTTTTTAAACAAGCAAAATGATTCCCTACATGTATCTTAAATCTATCAAAGAAATACCTCTCATCAACAAACTAATCCCATCTTTATATGCTATAGCTACACCTTTCTTTATGTATTATTTGTATGTTTACAACTGAACTATATGTACTGTATGTTTAAACTGAATAAAACTAAACAAATCTCAAGCTATAGATTACACAGCAAGAAAAGTTTTCCATTTTATTTTAACAGAAAATTGATGCAGACTGACATACATTAAGTTTGCTCTAACTGCTGATCATCATTATCATCCTTTTGTCAGTTGAAATACTATTGACAATGGAATCTAAATATGTATTTTCATATTAAGAAGTCATCAGTGCTTTTTTCTCATCGTTTTGAATTAAATCTAAAAAAGAGTGTAAAAATGTCCATTTTGCCACAACGTCAACTGTTGTTAGTTATTCAGTCGCAGGAATTATGTATGTTAAATATACATGTATATCCCTACCTGATGTGCACTCCATCCTATGCAGATGGTGTTATTCATATCCATGGGATATCCGTCTTTATAGCTGTTGCATACCTCAAAGTATTGTTTTAAATTGTTGTAATCTTCAAAGGTGCCCAATTTTATTTAATGATTGGTGGTTGCATTGCCTCTTCATCAGAGCCTGTGAGGAAATTACCATTTTTTATGCAAAAAAAGGAATGACACAACAGAAAAGCGAAATAAAAAAATCTCCTTACGCACGTTATATAAACCATCTCTTGAATGAAAGGTTTGCGCATGCGCATGGTTGATAAATTGTTTATTTGCCTTGAAGCGTCTTATTTCAATGTAAAGGTAAATATTTCTAACAATAATGTAGCGCATAAGATAAATATTTAAGATAAGATTATTAAGTTTAAATGTCTATCATCATGGATTATTCATAAAGTGAAGAAATTTGATTTTAAATATTGAAATCAAAAGGCCAGTTTTTACAAGTTTAATGCATATAAAATGAATAAAAGTAAAGTATGTCACGCATATGGTCCTTGAAATTGTTGTGATGCAAAAAAAATATAATATTGTAGACAGAAAACGGATTACTAGGATTATATAAAAATTTTTCTCATATTCTTCAAAGGATTGATTAGTTAGATACATGTAATTAACGCTGAGTCGGCAATATTAAAGACATGTTTCGGAGAATAATTCTGTTTAATGACCGGTTTTTGAAAAGTTGTTTGCTGGTTTTTGAAAGGTTGTAGTTTCCCTGGCGGCCCCAAGTTATACTACTCTCTATCAAATTCCAGAGAATCGATCTTTTACGTGCCATGGGGGTGTTATCGTTGACATGGGGCAATATTTAATGTCCAATCCGATGGACTGAAAGGAACGCTAACCATTTAAAAATATTTCTAAAAACAATGTTATGGGGTTAATTTTTTTTTGTCACTGGGATACAGAAGAAAGAGCAAAATCATAAATTTAAAAAAAAAAACCATACTGAAAAAAAATCATCTTCGAGTCCTAAAATGAATTTTGTTTTATATTTATTTATGTTAATTTTATTGACTTTAAGATTTTTCAATTAACTGATAGAATTGATCAGAACTTATTCATTAAAGAGACTTTGATTTGTTCATATTTTTATAATATATTTAAACAAAATGGATAGATTTGTCAAATTTTAGCCCTTACGTTGGGAATTTCTTTCAATGAATTTAATTTAATTTATAAATAGATTAAGAAATAAAATATTTTAACACAACCACATGTACATGTATCACAATCTTATGTACATCATTATTATGAGTTACAGGAGAAAAAAGATCGTGAGGTGTTGATGTATCATTACACAAGATGGCCAGACCACGGGGTTCCCGATCCACTCAGTCTTGTTGTGTTTCATCGTCACGTGATGAAAACGTCACCAAAAACTGGAAAATATACATTGGTGCATTGCAGGTTAAATATGAATATCTACATGTATCATGTTTAAAACTGACTTCATTAGAAGAATCATTACTTACTTATTTAGTTTAAGGAGTAATTTTATACATGCTACGTGTAATTTTAAAGTTGAAATAAAGTGCAAAACATACATTTTTATTACATTTCAATTTGCTCAAAAATAAAACAATGTGAAAAAACAGAAAAAAGGTACCGACTGTATTGATTTTTATTATATTAATTTTGGCTTTATGAATTCGCTCTTAGATAAAGATATCAAAGTATTCCACGCGTAATGAATACTGCAATTGTTTTGCATTTCTAAGAGGGCATATTATGGCGTAAAACGTTTAAACAGAAAAAAAGTATGACGTAGTCTATGTTACATTTTCAGTGCAGGGATTGGTAGAACCGGAACATACATAGCTTTAGACGCCCTCTATCGGGAAGGGGAGAGAAGCAGTAGAGTAAATGTACCGATGTACGTCAGAACAATGAGAAAAGACAGAATGAACATGATACAAAGCGACGTACGTTTAGTTTTTGTTCAATAATTTTGGGATTTTCTTTTCTTTCAGCAAAATTAAAATTAACTCCATGAAGTCTATTTATTTATATTTCATACACGTGATATTTTAAACAACATTATGAATATATTTTATCATGCAACTATGTGAAAATATATAGCTTTTTTAACATTTCAAAAAATGCTTAAAACGAGAATCGATGTAGAGTACAAATATTTTTTTCACGATGTTTATTCCATACCCTTAATAGTTTATTTGCTTCCCACTTGAATAGATATTGCTTTTTTACCTTTGGGTAATCAAACTTGCCAATCACATGTACCTAACAAGGACAAGTACTTTTATTTCCTTATTTTTTTTAAAGCAAAAACTGTCATTGATTCAAAAAGATATATAGAGATACATATCAAAATTAACTTCCTCTAAATCAGTGTTTTGTATGGTGTTTGATGGTCATTAGCCATAAATGTTTCCCTGTTCTTTTCAAACTAATTTCCTTTTCAGATTTTTTTGTTATTGAATTCTTCCTCAATAAATAGAGTCAGCTTTCATATTCTCCGATAGTTCTGTCGTAAAAACAACAATTCTGTTGAAGCACATAAATTAAGAGTCTCAGAATGTGTAATTTTGAGAGCGCTGGTTTCTTTCACACAAATGTCATATGACTTTTTATCAAAAACTGCACACGTTCGCAGCAAAAAATTAAGATTTTCTTTTGAATGTTTGACCACTTGATAACATAAGGGCAAAAATCCAATAATTTGAATAATCTTATTTTAAGAAAAAACATTTGATATTTTGCGATGACCTTTTAATAAAATACAAGTGATATAACAGTTTATGTTCTAATCGTATACTAATTAAAAGTTAACATACAGTTGCTTTACTATTGTAATTTTGAGGTAGAGCGTATGAAATGATGGGCAAATAAGATACAGTAAAACACATGTAAAGCTGTATTTTTTTTCAAAAATAATATTATCACAGATAATACTGAATAAATTATAATTATAAATCTTTGAAAAAATTAATTTATTTACAACTATGAGTTTCTATCTATGTACAGTGTGCCATACTTAAGATAATATTAAAAAAAATATTTTTATCTGTATACGTATCATCGTATATACAGTTTGTATGTACTCATTATTTTACAAGTCTTAGTCTCGCTAATATTTATTGAAATTATTGTAATAATTGTACGGCTAAAAAAAGACAGATGTATTAAAATGCTTACTTATTTATTTGTACTCTTTTAGGACCAGTTTAAGGCAGTATATCTTGCTTTATGTGAATATTTCAATGGAAAATCCAGATGTTTGACACCATCCATGTTAACAAAGGAATTCCAAGATAAAACCTACACGAACTGTGGACAAGTTACAAAGAGCTCCTCGTTGTCATCAGAATTTCAAGTAAGAAAAAGAAAATAATATGCATGCTAAATCAGAACTTTCACTGCAGCCTTTAGCAAGTAACATAAATTTCTGAAAGTTTCCAAAAGATGAAGGAGCTATATAATGTAAACATATATCAACAAAGCCCAACAGAGCATTATGGTTCTCTGTTTTTACAGGAGTTACTTTCTCTTCGAAAAGAATATACAGAAAAAGACTATGAATCTGGCAGAACAAATATATCAGCCAACTACACCGAGAGTGTTTTACCAGGTATCGAATGTCTATTTAAACATTACATAAAATAATGTCGTTCCAAACGTCCTACGTTTCGTGAATTTATTTAAGTTCAGAATACACCAAAGTTTCTCCTCTCAACAAAAGCAAATACAATCTTTGAATTAACTAGATTCTGTTACCTCATATCTTACTTATGAATAAGTAAGTCATGTTTTCATTTTCATTTCAGTGGAGGAATTTTTGTGCTATTTGTCATATACCAAGGGAAGGAACACGTATTATAACGCTGTACTATTACAGGTGTGGTTTATTTAGCAAAAAAAAATTAATAAAAAATACATGCTTTGTTATCTATAAGACTAACATTACTAAATAAATGTTATTCTGAAATAAGGTGTACTTTTTCATTTGTTTATTATTGCTTCACATATAACATTAACTTTATTAATTATTCGGTTTATGAAAATTATATTTGAAAGACACTTGTTATAAATAACTTATTTCTTGCATTTTTAAACACATGTACCAGTAGCTTTAAATGTAAAAAAAAATCTACAACAGGTAAAGTGTAAACAATCGTTGCTCTAGCCCTTGTTTGTTAAAATCTTATTCATGTTAAAACGAAACAGTATCTTAAACTATCTTTATGTTAATTTTCAGTCCTTCACAGAGAACGACAGTCTGATCAGCGCCCAGTACCCACTTCCAGATTACACTGAGGACTTCCTCAGACTCATCGGAGATTTTGACGCCCGTGTTGTGGTTTTTATGTGCCCGATAAAGGATTTAAAATCTGTACGATATAGTGATCAAATACATGAAAAGAAAAAGCAATATGTGATAAATTTAGCCATCAATCATAAACAATAGTACATACAACAGTAAATAATTATGAAACATACATAAAGGTCAAATATTTTGAAGTCTTAATAAATAGAAACATGCAATATTGTTATTATTTTTTGAATATATTTTAATTACATATTTACTTTTATTTTTTTCAGACATCTCTTTGGATTCCAACGAAATCCGAACATAAGAACTTGGGGAACTTTACCCTTAAATTGGCCTCTTCCACCAATTCTACTAACTTTGCATCACGGAAAATTGTCTTACAGTCAGAGGTTCAAAATAAGATTTTTTTTCTGCGAGATACTGTATAGGGAGAAAATAACTCGCAGTGTTAATATTAACTATGTTCACGGTGTTGATGAATCCGTGAATTCAAGACACAGTGAATAAGTTTTCAATATGTATATATAAGGAAGGAAACTTTTCTTACAAACCAGTTCCTCGAATTCAAGAAACCACGACGGGGTCAGAGAAGAGAAAAACATGAAAACTACAACCCGTGAAATTAATCCCCTATACAGTATTGGAAAATGTGAGATTGTCTTATTACGAGCATATTTCCTTTCCCACCATATAAATCATTTATTTATTATTAGGGAGGAAGGACTATGGAGATAACAGTACTGGAATGTAAGGCATGGAAAGAAGGGAAACTGACAATAGATAAAAGAGCTTTGTTAGACTTAATCAAAGAAACAAAAACTGAAAAGTTCAAGCACAAGGGAGGAAGGGTAGCTATTTTGTCCAGGTAATTTAGTGAATCTTTATAGACTGGTGAGACACGATATAGCAAAGAAACAACAATTTTTTCCACATTTTATTGTGAATTATGTTACTGAAAAGATGCTGGTTTCAAATGTTGTTTTACTATAATATGTGGAAAATGCATTAATCTTTAAATATTATATATTATTTTTCATAAAATTCGAAATATATCATATTAAAAAAAGATTTTTTTTTGCGATAATAGTGACGGAGCCACGCGTTGTGGAGCATTTTGTGTGGTTTATAACGCTCTAGAACAACTCTCAATTGATCAGGAAGTGGACATCTTCACCATAACACGACAACTTCAGATCCGTAGACCGGAGTTTGTGTCTTCTCTGGTCAGTTACCAGCATTGAAAATAGACAAATATATATTTTAAATTCATTTTATTTGACGCTATGACATAAAAAGGACTTAAGTGTATTTTTAAATTATCTCACAACCATGGATGAGAATGCCAGAAGATTTTCTAAATATGAAAAGTAGATTACATATTTAAGTAGTATTTTAAGCAAAATATATGCAATTGTTTTTCGGGCACCGCAGCATCAAGTGAAAAATTGTCACAATGATCAATTTTACTGACATTTTGAAAAGGAAAATAACTCTTTTTTTTATTTTTAAATGTTGAAAAAAATGAGTCATTTCTCTTTTTATAACAATTCAAAGATGGACGATGTTTTCAGATAAACAATATCCTTATAGTCAGTGCGATCACTTATTTATTAACTTTACAGATGTTAACAATAATATTATTAAACGTTATTTCATTCCTATGAGTATATTAATAGAACAAAAAGTAAGAATCAGTAAAAAATACCATTTTGATGAATGACTGAAATGAAAAAATATATATATATAAATGTACCTGCTTTAAAAAATGCCCGCCGCATTGAATTTTTGAAATTTTTGGCTCGATAATGTATAATCGAATTTTTGTACTTACTTTAATCCTTTTGATACTAGTACATTGTATCTTTATACAAGTTTGACTTTGAACTTTCCATTTTGAAAAAAAAGAATCTTAGCAGAGATTTTAATCAATTATTCATTTTTAGGACGAATACCAGCTCTGTCAGGACGCTGTTGCAGAGTACATGCAGAGTGACAGTGTGTATGCAAACTGCTAGTTATTTAAAAAAGTAAATTATAAATAACAGCTGAGTACATTTAACAGACATTCTTATAATTTACGTATTAATGCCTGTTTGGTTCATATGTTTTGTTTTTTATGTGGAAGGACGTTTTATATAAAATTTTGCGAAATAAAACCTAAAGCTTACTATAGAGAGTTTACAATACTCCATGTTTTTGTGATTCTTTTTTTATTACTTGGCACATTTTACGTTAAATATACACGTATATTTCAACTCCTTCTACGAGATGTGTTTATAATACCGACCAATCAATCTAACCCAAAGTTAAAGGATCAGAAAAACAAGAGACCCAGGGGCCACCTCGCTAATTTGAGCAACTAGCTAGGTAAAAGCAAAAATCAGTTAGTATTGAAAAATTAAGATATATTATAATAGTGGGTTCGACGGAGGAGGGGGTGAACAAACTTAAATCTACACTTAATAAGAATACACATAATGTTTTTGTTGTTTGTTGTTATGATCCACTTTAATTATGTTTTTAAATTGGTGATCAATCATGGCTTTGTGTAGATTTTCTTTAGGTATTCCTATTTAAAAATCTGAAACCCCATGTTGGCCCCATTCCCCCCCCCCCCCCCCCGGCGGTTATGATTTGAACAAACGTGATTCTACATTTTCGAGGATGCTTCCATATAACTATGAACAATTGCAACTTTACTGTTCTAAGAAGAAGAATTTTAAAGATTTCTTTTCCATGTGATCCTACTTTGATCACCCATAATGGCCCCAGGGGTCATGATTTGAACAGATTTGAATCTTCACTACCAGAGAATGTTTCCATGTAACTATGACCGATAATGGCTTTGCCATTCTTGAGCAGAAGATTTTTAAAGATTGATCTTATGTATTCCTATGTTAAACCCTGATCTCCCATTGTACCCCTTCCCCTGAGAGTCATGATTTAAAAAGACTTGAATCTACACTTTCAGAAGATGCTTCCATATAACAATGAACAGTCACGACTTTACTGTCTTTGAGAAAAATTATTAAGGATACTTCCTTTGAATTCCTATGTCGAACTTTGATACAACATTGTGGCCCCACCCTACCCCGGGGGTCAAGATTCAAACAAATTAGAATCACCACTACCAGAGGATGCTTCTACATGAGTTTCATCTTTCCTTGCCCACAGTTTCTTGAGAAGATTTTTTAAAAAAGCCCATTAAATCATATTTATCTTCCCTTGAAATAGGGCGTGGCCCTTCAATTGAACAGATTTGAATTCCCTTTACAGAAGAATTCTTTGTGTCAAGTATCTTTGAAATTAGCCCAATGGTTTTTGAGAAGAAAATGAAATTGTGAAAAGTTTATGACAATGACAACAACGACAACAACTACGACGACAGAAAACGGACGAATTTGATCAGAAAAGTTCACTTGAGCCGAATATTAATTTGTTGTTTATTTGTTTGGTTGAAGTAAAAATTAATTAAGAGATATTTTGTCTGTTATTAGAAATAAACAAAATCGATGAATAAATTAATGTATTTGTACAAATAAATCAATTTTCCGTTTGGACTAATTACATTTATATGCTTGTTTTATCAAATTAAAGAAAAATGGTTTTGAAGAGTGGGATATTTAAAGTTTTGGCAATGACGCATTTTGGACTTCCATGGCTATGTCTAGATATTTCAGATACTGACTTGCTTAAATTCATCAAACTTTATCTCAGTTCATTCATCCTGAAAGACATTCTTGTGGAATTTCAAGGCTAAATCTAAATTTATAAGATGTTAATGGGCTAAACTAAGCAATGATAAGATTTAACAATGTACAAAATTTACTTTTCTAGGTCCGTGGCCGAATTGTCATCGTGGAATTAATTCCAAATAGTATTTGAAAAAGGCCAGTCGGACTTCCTGCTCACTACGGATTTAGAAAGGGGGACATTAATTATTTGAATCAAAGATTGAAATGTCAAAGAATGTATGCAAAGTTGACAATTCTATAAAATACAGTGGTTCACAGAGAAGTCACAAAGAATGCACCTGATATCGCTTGGACTGATACATTTGCTCTACAAAGTAGCCCTACAGACCGTCCCAGAGCGGTATACATGTGATAGGTGTCCAGGAATTGTAACCTAGTGATCATAGAGCATTTAATGCAAAAGTGGTATATAGTAGCTGAATAACTTTTTTTCGATTGTTGGCGAAGTAGCTCTCTGGTCGTCCATCTCTGTGGGTTTTTTCCAGACCAGAGAGCTATAGATCTGCAGCTTGTCATACAGGATCTCAGAAAATGTTTTCGGGGACTGCGTGGGTACAATGTACCAAGTCCGGTCTAGTTGATGCTGTATACATGTATTTAAGTGATAAAACACAAAAACAAAGAAACACAATTGAAACTGCTACGAAATAGTTCACCCTGTTACTTAATTAGCAGCCTCTTTAAGCCACCATGTGTAGAACTGAACCAAATATATTTGATTAATATTGTAGGTTTTACCGTCATTTTTACAAGAAGACAAAGCAGAGAATAATCGAAGCATTCTTGAAATAATTCTTTCAAAGACATTACTTAAAGATTTGTATTGCATTGCATTGCAGTAAACAGGTTTTCATTTTTTCAATAAAGGATCCCCAGAAGCGAAAGGGTGAAACATATAAAAACAGTTAGAGCCTTTGCTTAAAAATGGCAAGTTTCAGTAGCGCAGGGAAGTTGTATGCTCTCAAATATTTATTCATATCATCACACAACCGACATGTCTCTTGCATAGAAATATTGATTACATTGTGCACGGGTTCAAAAAGCGTTATGTAACAGTGTGTATAGCCGTCAAATTATTGCTTGTATTGTTAATTCAGTGTACATTGACACTGAAATTAGAGCAGTGGTGTTAATGTAACTACACCTGCATATCCATTCATATATACTATAGTTCATGTATCACAGAACTGAAACAGCTTTCATTACATTTTAGTCATAAGAAACTACATTCATATCAATTAAGATTTAAAATTTCCAAACTCTCTTAAGGTATTTGTATCCAATTCGAAGTTTTAAAAACGTAAATTCATGTTTTATCTAACCTCTTAAGGCTAGGCATGAATACAAACAAACCAGTATAAAATAATAATTTGAAAAATTGATTATTTAATATGTACATGTAGAATAATGTAATGAGCAATGTCTGTAGGTGAACTTTGGACTGTGTTAAGAGACCCTCTGTATCTGTTGAATGATTTTGTGAGTCAGCTTTGCGAATCTAATATTCCTACTTTTGTTAAATGCAAAAAGACCCGAACTAAAAATGGTTTTTGATTAATGTTATAAAGTAAAAAATGTTTATATACTCATGTACACGTTCTGTCAATGGAATTTTCTGCTCTGTTAAACTTGAATATCAAAAAATGTCCTTGACTCTTATGATTTTTATAGTATAACGTAGAAAAAGTTTGGCAAATCTCCAGATTAAAGTCTATATTTGTTTACTGATTATTGTCAAGCATGCAAATGGCATATTCCTTCTTTTTCTTAACGCAAAAAAAACCAAAGTTTCAAAAAATGTATTTGATTATGTAAAGATTGTCTGAAGTAAAAATGTCCAGGGGCCCGTTTCATCAAAAGTCGTAAAGTTAAGCCTTAACTTAGGCGTACTTCCGGGGCTTACGCCAAAATTTAGTCGAGCGTAATTTGCGTTTCACCAAGTGGCTTAAGTCTAGTCGTAAAAGATACGCTTAGTCACAGGATTAAGTCCTTGACAACGTTGCATTGCGCAGGCGCAGAAACATAAACATTGCCCAATGGTACAAACATGTATAAATTGTAGCACGTCAAAGTACAGAATAATACAAATTATAGATAAATTAATACTTGCACTAATTGAAACATGCACGGGTTTATAGTGTCATGTAGGAGACATGTATCTTATAACGAACCAATTTTAGGTTTTTTTTTTTGTTGTTTTTTTACATTTCAATGATAAAAGTCTTATAAATTGAAAGGAAGAAAAGGACCGTACATGTATTTTGGAATTAAGCAAAACTATTTATTTTGGAATTTTAATTACAGCCACTCCCCCCTTTTCCCAAAATTGATACAGGTTAATGACTTCGCCTTTGATAATAAGTTTCATGATAAATACTGATTCTACTGAAAAATACTACTAATTATTAATGACTTTCCCTTTGATAATAAATTCCATGATAAATACTGATTCTACTGATAAATACTTCAGATGATTAAGTTTGAGACAGAAGAAGATTTAAAAATTTTCATTAGAAATGTATATGCAAGCAAAAATAATGAATACAAAATGCAAACAGTTTACATATGTACACATTTTGAGTCAAGAAGTAAATTTTACACGTTTACTACTAAGGCACATGTAAGATAATCCTCTCTAAACTTATTAAATTTTTGTCAATTCAAATGATTCATTATAATATTGTTATTGTTTATTAAAATGACACAAAGGTTCATAATATAATTAAAAAATACTAGACTCTAGGTCTTGCAGTTATAGAAAAAATCTTTACTATCTGCAGATTAAATGTAATGTACCGTTTTAAAAGTACGCAGAGAGAGAGAGAGAGAGAGATTCGAAGAAAAAATGACTACAAAGATATTCTTACAAAAATTCTCTGCTTGTGTGGTCTCTGTCTTTAAAATAAAGTTACAGCTACTCTTTATTTTGTTTTCATTAAAAATGTAAGTTATGCAGGAAATCAAAACATGTATATTTTTATCTTATATATGTGCTTTATATGCGCTCAGATTATCTTACACTATGTAAAATTTACTCTTTTAAACAAAATCATGAAAATTAAAGATATGTCTTCTGCAATGTTGTCTGAGAAAAAAAAATTAGGAATAATTCATTCTTGAACTTAACTGTGTAATTATTACCGTCTTACATCGATATTATAAAAGCAATAATATATTTCCCCATTTCAAAATCTCTTATTGTTTATGACCCCCCCCCCCCACCCCTCCCTGGGTTCCGTCTTAAATTCGCCAGGAGGTTCACTTGTCCCAGATACCTA